GTACATGTCTATTTTTTGATACCTGTTCTTGTCTCTTTGTTTTTAGCGAGCGATTTCTTTTTTTGTCACCACAACGGCCGGACCAGGTCTTTTCATTACTTGAATACAGCATCTCTGGGAGGTTTGCATGTCGGGCATTTCAACGGAAGACGGATAAACACAGCCTCACGGCTCACGATGTCAGGAACACTCGGTTTGGGTTTTTGCGATTTTCTGTTTTAATGTCGTTTACACTCCTGGACGGATGCGCTATCTCTTCGTTGAGCCTGTGGCATGCCATGACTCTTACGATCTGACGCGATTCACGTTCACGAATTTGCCTACTCAGCCTGGCATTGAATGCTAGCTGGACATGTTGAGGGGCGGCGACAAAAGTTATACATGCATCTGCGATGCCGCTGTGATAGCTCGTCTCTGCTGCGAAGGAGGACTGGGTCGACACTTGGAAAGCGACTGTGCGGGGTCAAGACACGAGTACGCCCGTGGCGTCTCTGGCTTTTGGGAGGTGGTCCTCTGCTTGCGGAGCAAACACTTTCCGATGGACCTCTGCACTTTTACCGACCTTGATTGACTTGGGATACTGGCTGCACAGAGACTGTAGGTTCATCTCCTACACTTCAAGCTAGTCTTGGAAGAAGCACTCCCCAGTTGAGCTGGGAGCAGTTGAATCGGATGCTGGACAGAAGCAAGCTTCTTTAGCCTTCTAAACTTAATAAAAAACGAAACTTTGAATCCAACAAAAGAATTCTCTAGAAGGGCGCATTGGTGCAGTGATGTATGTGTGCATTAGTGGAGCCGGGCTGGAGCGGATCTGTGGACCATGGTGCTGGGACAAAGTGAGGGTCGATGAGGAGGTCTGGGGCACAAGCGAGGATGATGCAACTGTGCCGCATTCCTCTTTGCGCAACCCATTGGTAGGGCGGAGCGGAAGCCAACGGCGGGACAACGGGGGGAAATGCATGGCGAAATTGGGTGGGCTATCATGTGCTATTGCGGTCATCAATCAGGGCGAAGGGGTGTCATGGCGGCATCTTTGTTTTTCACCAGAGTTTGACATGATCGCGTAACACTTTGGCCGAGGACACGCCTTTGCCTCTGATCTCGAAACATTGTGCCCTTTGCGACGACTCATCTGACCATGCCCACTGCGCCGCGCGCTTCGTCATAATGCCGCCCGCCAACTCGCCTGTAAGGAAGCCCATTTCCGTCGCCGGCTGCACCGCTCGTGACGGTAACCGTGGTTCAGCGCCCGGACAGCCCAATGTTGAAGAGGCACGACTGACGTAGCTGCACAACAGGACGACCCGGAACCCGCCTTCATCTCGGCCTTGCGTGAACTCGAGAGCCCCGTAAACCACGACGTCCTCAACCTCGCCGCCACGCTGGGCACCCAGACGGACCAGGGAGAAGACGCCATCATCATCGAGGTGCCCGCAGGCCTCAACGCCGACGACGACGACATTGAACGCGCCCACGTGCACTATCTCCGGGCTGCACGCGAGCGAGACCAGGCGCGCTTGAACCGCTCACAGGAGCGATTGCGCCTCTTGGAACGCCAGCGAGACGAGCTCGAGCAGCGAGACCGGCTGAGGAGAGTCATGTCGCGGCTCTCGAGGCTGTCGGACAACAACTATGGTGACCGCGTCCCTAGCCAGAACAGCCTGTACGACTGGTCGCCCGCCAACGATGCCGCTCCTGGAGCGCCCGAGAGCTCCTTGAGGTCGACTGCCATTCTGCAGTCGGCAGGCGTGCGTCGACACCCACGCTTCTCTGCGCGCACCAGAGAAGCCGCGACGACGACGACGACGGGCAGCGAAGCACCGCCACGCCACGTTTCGCATCGCAGTCTACGGGATATGCTTGCCGCGAGATCGAGCCTCTTCAACGAGTCGTCGGAGCGAGACCGCCAGTCGAGCGCACGCCAGCGATCAAACGAGAACAGAATGTCCCCCATGCTGGAGCAGACTGTCAAGTATCTATCGCGCATACGACACTGCCAATCCGAAGACGAGAGCTGGGAGCGTGCGCGAGACGCCGGCATCCTGACCAAGGACTACTTCTTACAGCACGCAGACTTCGTCGCCGACACGTCGCACATAGCGCCGCCCTCCGAGACGTCGTGGCTAGCGCCAGGGGCAATACTCTCGGGCTGTCAGCATGCGACGACTATGCCAGCCGTCACCACCTCGTACAGTCGGCACGCGGGGCTCCCACCACCCATCCGGCCGTGGATATGGAACCCCTCCGAAGCCTCGACCAGCCGGACCTCACACCACTCTGACGCGCAACCGCACCAGGACCGATGGCCGGTCAAGGTCACAATACACGACGTGGACTGGGACCAAATGTCCCTCTCCGCAACCATGGAAGCGTATAACGTACCCTCCCACCCGCATTCGCACACCATCTTCCCCACCAACAACACCACGCCGCCCGTCACACGCACTTCCTCAATAACCACCTACCTCGAAGGCGAAATCCTCGACTTCAACACCCACACCCTCCTCACAGAATCCTTCAAATCAAACGCCGCAAACGACGCCACATACTGGCGCAAGCTGCCGCCCTTCCAGAAGATGAGCGACGAAGACGTCGTCCGCGCACTCACGAGCAAGAAATGGCTTACCGAAGTCCTTGGCCAGGATTGGATACTCATGCGCTGGAAAGAGCGATGTTTCGTAAAGAGTCTGAACCGCAGCACACCCGATCCCGTTCAACCGCCGCCCTCCACCACGATACCCTCTTCGTTCCCTACCGCCGATGCCGGTCCAGCGCCCAATCCCTGGGCGGCGACGGGTTCCGCAAACTACGTCCCCGCCACTTCCAACACCTCTGCACAACCCTCCCCGCAACTCCAACCTTCGCCCTACCGGATAGTCCGCAATGCGCAAACGGGCCGAGCCGAAGTCGAAATCACACCACAACCCCTCTTCAATGCAATAACCAACGATGCAGAACACGCTACCTTTGACGACTCTGGCTGCGGGCTTACAATTAGTGGCTTCTACTACGTTGCGCTCGATCGGAGGAACGGCACGCTGGAGGGATTATATTATGATCCGCAGAGCAGTCCGTATCAGTGTTTGAAGTTAGAAAGTGTGAATGGCGGGCTAAGGAGTGCTTGGGGATTCAGGTGATGCGGCAGAATCGCTGCCTTGAAAAGAGAGCGTCAAGATAACACAGAAGATGGAGCGGGAAGAACGAGATGAGCGTGGAACAATTGCATTGCCATGGAGTTTTGTATTGGATATGGGACTGCACCGCCCATTGAGGCTCTCCTAGATGGATCGGGATCATGTTTTACTTTGTCGCTTATTACAATTTTTGTTAGATGATGTTTATTCCACAGAAATATCAATATACTACTTTCAGCTCTTACAAGGCCCCCACCGTGAGTAGCCAAGAGTATCCGGGTGGGTCCGTGAATATTCAGTAATACATTGTAGGCCTTAAGACACGTAATACGCTGCAGACGCTCTACACGCGTATTTTGTATAGATGTACCAGCAAGCCGCATGCAGTCAAACACTATCCACCAATGATTAGTATTGCATTACAGCCCCGCTTCCGCATGCAGTAAGCCCTGCCGAGTATCGTCATCTTTCGAGACCCTTTCGGCATGCCGATGGGCTACGCGATGGACCCAGCGTAGAGGCGAACACTGGAAGAGTCACCGTAAAGTCATAGTATCCAAGTTCTGGGAAAGATACAAAGCTCGCCGTCAGTCTCGAGTGAATTCCAATCCAGTTCAAACTCAACACATCAGTCCCCGTTACTTGCCTAGAAGCATAAACAGAGCTAAGCATTCATCATGGCGTCTCCAGAATACCCCAAAACTCCCGTCAACAAACTCGGTCGTTTAGCAAACCGAGCTGCCTACGACTACGCCACCATTCATACTCTCGTTAACACCTGTCCTATTCTCCATGTCTCCTTCGTCGACCCCGAACACCCCTTCCCCGTTGTCCTACCCATGATAGGTTGCACTGGAAACTTTTCCTCGCCTTCCTCGGACCCGGCAAGCACATCTCAGGATCTTTACATTCATGGCTACGTCTCCGGTCGTATATTCAAGAGCGGGAAGAGCGCCGATGGCCAGGGATTACCCATCACAGTCGCAGCTAGTTTTCTCGATGGCCTCGTATTGAGTCTGACGCCTTTCCATAATTCGTGCAACTACCGCTCTGCTGTTGTGTACGGGTATGCGCAGTTGGTAGAAGACCAGGAAGAAGCCCTGTACGCTATGAAGGCCATTACGGATAACATGCTCCCCCAGCGTTGGGACAAGTCACGCACACCGCCCACATCTGCCGAGCTCAAGTCTACGTCTATCCTGCGTATTAGGATTGAGAGTGCGAGTGCGAAGATAAGAACGGGTGGGCCGAGTGAAGACAGGGCCGATTTGAAGAACGCTGAGCTTGTGAAGAAGACTTGGACGGGTGTCGTGCCGTACTGGGGTACTTGGGGTGAGCCTGTGCCGGGTAAAGAGAATGCATGTGAGGACGTGGAAAGCTACATTGAGGGCTGGAGGATGAAGGAAACAGGACAGGCTCGAGGGTATGCGTTTGAGGCTATCGAGATGGATGGGAAGAAGAAATAAGAAATGAAATAGGGAGAAAGAAGGTGGAGTTTGGGAGTAACAGAGGCATTGGAATTTGTGAAAGTTTGCCTTGGGAGTTGGTGCGTTCATTCTCCATGATATCAGTTAGTGTTTTACACAAAGTTATCACAATTATTGCCTGCTTGCCGTAACATTGGAACGATCAATGGCTTTTGTCGACCAACAGTTATACAGATGAATCACAACCATACAAGCAAACAATGTTGAATGAAGCATGCGTGTACTGAGTTTATTTATGACAAGTACAAGTATGCCCACAAGGTCAACCGTATCAACATCAGCCCAACCTTCGTCTTAAGAGAGTATCTTGTGTATATCATTTATTCCTGCAACCCCATATATAATGAAAACAGAAGGCAAGCACTATTCTAAAGACGGATTAGCAACCTTTAGGCGGCTTCGCGTTGTATCGGCGGCGGTAATGTGCAATCTCCTCTGGAGTGAACTTCCGCTTCTTCGGGTCACTAGCCCTCATCTTCTCCTGGACCGATTTCTCTAGCTCTGCTTCCTTCTTTGCCTTGGCATCAAAGAACGCCTTCTCCTCCGCCAGTTTATTGGCCTCCTGTTCGGCATTCTCCTTCACGCTTGCCTCGTAGAACTCTCGAGCCTTGTCCTGCTGGATACGGCGCTTCTCCAGCCGCGCCGCCTTTCGGAATTCATACTCGCGCTTTCCAATAGCCTTCCTGATCTCTGAATCAAGAACAGGGTTCTGCGCGAGATAAAGAGCGAAGTCCTCGGGATCTGGTACCGTTCCTTCAAAGACATGCATGGCGAGGCCCTGCACGACGAATTTGAATAAACGAAAGTGCGCGTCCTTGAACGCAATGATGGCGTCGATGTCTTCGTACGCAGGCAAGTCCTGTCGTAGAAGAGCCTCGCACTTCTTGTACAGATGAACCACGTACTTCTCCATCCCAAGAGCAGAAGCGGCAGCGCACACGCCCAGCGACGCAGTCATTGACAAATGGCGGGGGAAGGGAGGCAGTGTCTTGTCAGCCTGGATGATGCTTTCAAGATATTCCACTAAGCGACAGACGCCATCCTTGTCAGTATCTTCTGCTAACTCAATCGTGCCGTCCTTGAGGATGTCTTTGGCGATCGGTGAAGTTGCCCGAAGTAGCGGCTTTGAGATCGTAACGAGCTGCGTGTCACCGATAAGGATATTGACGCGGTCACCCTTGGACACAAGTAGCTTGCGATCACCAGAAGACCAGGTGCGGATGTCAAGGTCCTGGGCTGTAACCAGGTCAATAGGCTCAGCGGTGACTGTGTCCTTCTTCTTGGCCTTCTTGGTTTTCGTGTCGATGAAGATCATGTCCCAGACCTTGCCATCGATGCGGCCTTTTGTGTTGTCGGAACGAGGAAGTAGAGATGCCATAGTTTCTTGCTCGCTCTCTTTAGGATGTGTAGGTGTTTGTCGGTTCTGAAGTAGATCAAGTGTAAGTTGAGTCTAGATTGTTGAGAGTCGATGTGGAGAGTGGAAGAATTAGAGGACTGTAGGATTAGGGGTTATATAGTAAGAGGAGAATAATAAAGTGCAATTGTGCAATCTCTTGCAGCCCGGATAGTGAATTCATTATGTGGTTGGATTAGTCTTCTGCAATGTGAAAGGCCGAGGAAGTCATGAATGTGGCGCTGGAGAAAGGCTACAAGATCGAGGTCAGTAAGGTTGGCAAAGACCAGGAATTCACACTTCGTTTTGATAGCTCAAGTTGAAACAATCACCAAATGCCCACATCGATTCAGGTCGTAAGAAAGAGTCTCAAATACAGACTCACTAGCTCACACCCTGCTAATAACATGGTTCCGATACAGACTCACATCTGCTTAGCATCCAATGCTCCATGGTGCGGCAAGATTGGCTTCAGACTCTTGACATGATCCAAAATATACATGCTGTTTGCGTACCTATTATTCTCTGGTCCCACGATTGCCGTGTTTTCCGGGTTGAGGAAGTTGTGCGGAAATCCCATGTCGAAGCCATACGCTGCATCAATCTGCTGGATCTCCTCTGGCGTTAGACCCAGACTAAGAGCCTGAATATTGCCCTCGAGATGAGAAATCTTGCGACCACCGACAATGGGGAAGACGTACGGCGACTTGTGCATAACATACGCAAGGGCGACCGAGGTGATCGGCGGCACTGGGCTCTTCGCATTTGCAATGTTCTCGAGAACGTTGCTAACCTTTTCCTCATTACCGATGACCATCATCTCCATCTTCCGGCCACCGTCTTCTGGATTTTCTCTTTGCGCCCTTGTCTTGAAGCTTCCTCCACCGATAGCGCCCCAAGGAGCCAAAGCCATGCCTTCATCGAGCGCCATTGGGATGATCTCACGCTCGAACGAACGCTCAGCGGCAGACCAGCGGCCTTGGTAGATTGAGAATTGGCGAAGACCATGTTGCCTGGCATAGCAGTTTGCTTTGACGACGATCCAGGCTGGGGTGTCGGAGATACCGAGATAAAGGACCTTGCGGGAGGTGACGAGGTCGTTGAGCGCATTCATCAGCTCTGGTATAGAGACCGTTGAATCCCAGAGGTGGACATAGTACTAGCAAACAGGTCAGACACGGTACTAATGTCAAGACGCCTCAACTCACGATATCCACATAGCTCGTTCTCAGCGCCTTGAGTGACCGCTCAATACTCGTATACATATTCTTCGCGCTGTTGCCTCCGTAGTTACTCTTGCACCTTGCACTGCCTTCCTTCTCCTTCTCCGTGATCTGCATTCCAGTAAACTTTGTTGCAAGCACCATCTCATCTCTAACGTCTCGCTTCTCCATCCACTCTCCAATCCATTGTTCGCTCTCGCCGAATTGATAGTTGACGGCAGTGTCGATGAAGTTGCCGCCTTGCTCGTAGAAGTAATCTAGCATAGCGAAGGCCGTCTCTTTACTACATTCGCCGAGGGAAGCCTTCCAAGCCTCTCCAAAGTTCATTGCGCCGAGACAGAGAGGTGAGACCCGGACGGCTGCTGTGGGGCTGAGGATACGATGTCTACCCAAGGGAGACACTGGTGCAGTCGGCGTGATGAAAGACATTTTGCTATTGGTTGTGATGTAGAACTGACAGTATTAGAGCGCCTGAGTGATCATGATAGGACTTTTGAAGTCATTACGGTTTCCCTTTATACGCAGCTTAACGCCGTGAGCTCCATGCCTTAACGCCGATGGCATATGCAGATGAACTGTCAGCCTGGCCGGGCAGACAAGGTCCATCAAACCAGTAAGGTATCGAGACTGATCATCTCAACCCACCTCTTCACCGAACAACCCTTCTACCCATCCCTCTCCGGACCAATCCGCCTCCCACACTGAGCCTTCCTTCCGAGCTTGAGCCGCGAATGCTCCTACCTTCTCTTCAACCACACAGACATCAACACCCAATTCTTTCAGCTTCTCGAAGACGCGGGGCCATACCAGTCTTAGCTGAGAGGCGACTTGCAAAGAAGATTTCTAGGTGTTTGGGATCGCGTGAGGATGTGGTCGTTGTGTGGACCCACCAATGTAGAAGGTGCAAACGCCGCGTCAGTCGCCTGTTCTTGCAGCGACTCTGCCCGACCTACGAAAACGTTTGTTATCTTATCAGTCGGTTTCTGGCGTCCAATTTCTACAAGAAAAGTAATGTGTTATTCTTCTAGCTAGTCCCCGGAATCGTTGACTACTAAACATTTAACCTTTCTACACTTTCTCGCCCGCGACACGGCGAACCCATTGAGCAGTCTCATCTATCTTGCTAAGGAAAGGACTGTGACTGGACTTGATCCTGGTCACATCGATATCAGCGCCAGCGGCCTTGGCAACCTGAATCATTCCCTCCTGCGTCTCCGGAGCAATGGCGAGATCTTCTTCACAAAGTAGGTAGCTTGTTGGGATGACTTTCCAAGCTGTGCCCGTCGCCTTGGCCGCGGCAGACCCAACTCCATGAGTCTTGACAAGCGAGAACCAGTGCTTAGATTCATTTTCGGGGAGATCTTTGTAGAAGACGTCGGGATCAGTATAGATCAACTGATTCCCCTCAAGTTTGATCCAGTCCGGAGGCTGGACTTGGCCCCGGCCTACATCCGAGATACCGACTCCTTCAGGTAAGAGAAAACTGGTGATATAGCCAGTCCTTATGACACCGCCTCTTTTGCCTACCGCTTCCCTTTCCTTCTTGCTCATCCCAACTAACCCAGAGCCAGCAACGAGGCCAGCCCAGCTATGGGGTATCACGATAACATCGTTACCGTCTCCAATGGCTTCTTCGACTAGCGAACGTAGAGCTGTGATATCTTGAGAGAGATCTTCAGGGGGACTGGGGTTGTCGACGGAGGGCATCTGGCGGCAATGAGTTGTGTAACCGAAAGAATTCAATTTCTCCATCAACGGAGCCATGTGCGCAGGGACATGCGCTGATCCGGGAACAAAAACAAGCTGAGGTTTGGACATGCTGAAGGTGTTGTCTGATGACAAACGGGTATGAATTGCTCGAAGAGTCGTGATACTGCTGAACTGCTATCTCAAGAGTCCTAGTAAGTATCCTCATACTTATAATGTTGCATAAGCTTACCGTTAGATAAGCTTAGTCTACAAGAAGCCCTACCCTCTGCGCTTTACGTAATTCAACTAGGCCTACCTAGGTAGTACAGACGCACGAGCAGAGAGTAGTGCTTGACTGACGGGCCTTTGCGAAGTGCTGAGAATAAATGACCCATCTATCGCTCATTTCTAATTGAACATGCTCTTTCTTTGCTGCCACAAATTACTGTCAGAGCTGTAGACTATAGCCAGATGTGTACTTTCCGTGTACAAATTCAGTCACCTAGGTAGTCAACGTTCGCGAGCTCTGTGAACGCTGATCGTAGGTAGCTTCAAACCCGTACCGAGTACAACGGGCCTTCTGCGAAACCCTAGTGCCACACTGTAATTTCACATGATGTAGGTTTGTCATTTCCTGAGGAGTGCGAGCACATATGCAGACAGATGACAGTTCGCAAATGAGACATCTGCGTTTAAGCTCTGCCTTGATGATCAGTGAGACCGCATTATGTTTCAGTATAGTGATGAGAATTCAATGTTTAGTCTAGGCTAACAATGCTTCTAATCCGTCAGCAGCTTACTTAAAGTCCGCGTTAGCATCTATTTGAGGGTCGCGCTGGCTAAGCGTACAAGCCTCAAGAAAGCAGAGAAGCTCCAATCGCATGCTCGAGCCGAAGTAATCCCTATCTGACACATGTTGAACGAGACAGTGAGTGTGTGCCGACGGAGCATCGGAGTTCTCGCAGCCCGGGTGGTGTAGAATAGAGGAGACGGCGTTGATCCGAGTAGGTTCGCCGGTCTCTGATTTGCTCAGCAAATCTAGCGTTATAACAAACATGTCGTGCATGAGTGAGCCCTGTACCTCGGCTTTGGCGCTAAGGGGATCGCGGGATTCACTTCCTGTTTCGTTGGGGATTTCCCATGACGTCAGATCGGTCCGCGTCACGCCGCCGATCCAGCGATGCATGCCTCGCATCAACGGGAATCACCACGGAACGGTTCAGAGCGTCGAAAGCGCGCCTGGTTGTTGTATCGTCACAGTTGTGAAGTCCAGAACCAAGAGAAGACGGTTGAGACTAAAAAGGAAGATCTCTATCTTCACGATGTAGTGTGAGCTAGACAGCGACATGCCTCCAAGGAATTATGAATTGGCAATCAGTTTACAGAACCAGAGCCTTCTGCAAACACGTTACACGAGCTGAATCAAGCTGGAGTCCATTCACTACTTCGGTCAATCTTAAGGATGCTAAATGATCACCGTGATAACATCGTTTTCCATAATCCGATGCCTAGATCGCGCTACACATCGAACACTAGACCAGCAAATCTTGCATTGGTCATTTTGTCGGTTTTCTCCTATGGCGCCCATCATAGGAAGAAGCTACCGCCACCTAGCTTGTCCTGAAGATCACTCGTCCTCCTCGAGCGCATTCGTTCCACGAGTCGGTACCATAGTATTCTAGTGTGGATACGTAGGCACATTTTCCCACCCGTTTGCAATCGCAACCTCTCGTACCACATCATACAGCCTCCTCACTCTTGGCCAGTCAGCTTGAGGCGGTATCGTAGCTCCTCTGCTCAGGAGGAATTGTATCACAGCCTTGTCTCCGCGCTCGAAGGCTATCTCCAATGGCGAACAAGTAGAACCTAGAGATCTAAGCTTAGGCCTGTAAGCCTTCCCATTTATATCTGCACCAGCGTCTAGGACTGCGCCGATGATAAGTATATCGCCATACTGGATGGCACAGCAAAGTGGGTGAGCCTTGAAGGATACAAGTAGACTTTTATTGACACCTACGTTACCTTCATTCAAAAGCGTGTTGACAATACCGGTACTACCTGTGCGGCATGCATTGGCCAAGATATATGGATTGACTTTGTCTCGCGAAGAACACAGAAGCAAGACCGACTTGACGATGTCTGTGTTTAAACTCGCAATGGCAGCTTCAAGCCATTTGTTGTATGTTTCTATTGATACATAACGGGGAAGCCTCGGGCAAAACTCGACGAGTTCCTTGACGAAGCGAGAGTTACCAGTGTTGACAGCAATGTAGAACGCATGGTCGACATCGTATTCGTACCTGCACATATCTCTGCCTCTAGGCGTTTTTATGAGCTGATTGAAATGATCCATAATTTCGTCGAAGAGGTCATTGTTATTCGCGGCCACGGCCATCACTAGTGGACATCGACCGATATATATGCCGGGTATCCGGGTGTTGAGAGGCATAGTTGCTAGCAGAGTCCGCACCAAGTCGAATGCCAGAAATTCCATAGCTGCTACGACCTTTTGCCAATGATCAAGCTCACCGTCGTTATCTATATTCACAAACGACGTACAAAGTGGATGTACGCCCCTAAATCTACCCCAAATCATGGTCTTGACGCGTACGGGTTGACAGACTCGCACAAAACCCTCAATCATACTAGTCTCAGTGACTTTCCGATCTTTCTCTGGGATCGCAAGCTCCCGGATCAAGTAGTCGGCCATACGACGAAGCATCTTGAGCAATGGATCGTTGACATCAGAGATCTTGTGAAGATGGATGATTAGGTACTCGGCCATCTTATTGTTGATGACTTCGGGCATCTTTTTGACAACATTTTCAGGCTGGGTAATACCGTCACTTAGCTATCTTGGCTGCCTTAGATGTCTTACTTTTCTTTTCTCGCTCTTCCACAGCCTTCTGGAGGACCTTGAGTATCTTACCTCGAGAGGGCCAAATGCTCTCCGAAGGGACTTTCGCTCCACATTCGATCAAGTAAGCTACCACATCATACTTCTTGATGTGTATGGCGTATTCCAATGATGTGATAGTGGTGCGTCTAGCGATTCGATGAGTAGTCATAGCGTAGTCGATGTCGGCGCCAGCTTCAACCACCTCCCGAACCATATCTACAGTACCTGATCTTATGGAAGCTGCCAGTGCTGACGAGGTACTGCTGCTAGAGTGCAGTTGTACTTGTCCGTATTTGAGAAGCGTCTTGACGATATTGAGGCTGCCCTTTCTACAACCCTGTTCGAAGGTTCTATTGACGATGTGATAGGGGCTGTCCTCGGCTGTAACTTGGAGAAGAGACTTCAGTGACTCGTTGTTCTGGCAGTCAATGGCGAGTCTAACCCACTCACGATAACAAGGCTTGTTTGTGAGGGACTTATAGCCGCGGAGGTATCCAAGCAGGACGGCTGTCATTTCGGCGTGGTTGTTGGTGATAGAGTGTGAGACACCAACTTGAATGTTGTATATAGAATCGCTGTCGAGCATCTGGTTCCTTTTCCAGATCTTGCTCTTTTCCTGATCCAGGACATCAAGCATAAGTGTGATCATCTCTGAGTCTCCAAGCCGAACAGCAGCTGAGATTGGATAATCCCATACACTCTGTCGAAGATATCTGGGCGCATCAGGTAGCAACCTAGCGACTAGCCCGTAAGCGCGTACGCTTAACGCCGCGATAAATTTCTCATGCCAGTCCAAACCCGAGCCTGGAGATTCGCACTGCTTCTGGCACCACTCATTCCTAAATGTGAGCCAAGATTCGTAACAGAGGTCCGGTTCAGAGGTCCATAGCAAGTCCCCGGTGTATCGACACGTGTCTGCCACACAGGCGCAAACTTCGAGTAAGATATTGCGATCTTGGCAATCATTTTCGGCCTCGAGTTCCTTGGTAACATACTCTACCATCTCTCGTATCTTCGTAGGCAGTTCGAGAAAAACATCGCGTGGATTCTTTACGTGGTATGCGAGGTAATGCTTCATGTTCTCTGGCTCGCTAAGAAGGCGACATGCGAGATGAGAGCGGAAAGCTCCCATGGGTTGTATGGCTAATATGTTCTCGCTGATCTCTTGATCGAAAGTGCCTGGGAAGTCAGTACTGCATACTTACGCAAATGCTAAGAAGGGTGTCTTACGACAGACTCCACGCAGCTTCCAAGATTCGATCACCCCAGCGCCGCTCACAAGATAGTCAATCATGCGTCTAAAGATCTCCGGGGGGAAATCGAGTAACTCCATCGCGACAAGGAGTTTGCTACTGCTGTATATGAAACTCGAGCAACAAGTTTCGAGTTAGCAGGTTCCAGAGTTCGACGCGACTGGATTACTTACTATATGTGTACTGACTTAACGCTTTCCTTGTGAATTGTTGGAGAGAACGAGTGGGGACGGAAATGGACTAGGAGGCGGCAGCAGAGGGGAAGTAGTGTTTGTCTTATCGCCAAGCATTATTAGCACATGACCAAAGTAGAGACAGGTACACTGTCACACGCAAGGCTGGCGCCTGAATCCGATGATGTAATTGCAAGCTGACGGGCAAAACAGCGCCCTATCCAAATCAAGGTGTTTGTTTTCCCTCTAAGGGTATAGCTTAAGATGACTTTTGAACGCATGTAAATGTCAAGCTCGCCCGCAAAGCTCTGGGCTAAGAGTGGAGACATTGACCAGGCTCCCCTCATATCTGAAAAGATAGCACCTTAATCTTCAAGGGAAGACTCGCCCCTGTAATCGCAGATCCTTTTAGCTGGAAATAACCCAAGAAAACCATGCAGTACACTCAAAGCTTGCCCCTCACTTCATGTGACATACCGCAGAATTCTGTGTAGGACGGAAAACCGCAACAGCCGTCTTCCATCCTTTTAAGCTTTATATACCTGTAGCAAAGCATAAGACCTCTCTCATCCCACACATTCGAAATTTGAGGAATATGTGAACCCTTTTTCAGAAGATAGTGAGATATCTTGAAGCTCCGCCTCTTGATCGCGACCAGGATGGCTGTTGTCTGCTTCGATTTCCAAGTAGATACGTAATTCACGTCCGCACCGGCTTCGACAAGGATCTTCACGATGTTCGGGCGCCCTGCAACCACAGCCTTGACTAGTGGAGATGAAGCAACTGCCTTGTTGTTGACATCGATGTGGCCGTGATCGAGGAAGAATCGTATTACGTCTTCGCGATTGTGCTCACACGCTGTCTGATAATCAATCCATCTAACCTTCCAAGCAGATTGGCGTCTGGTGCTCCGGAGTGTAGCAACAGCTCGAATCATTGCAAGGCTAGACCGAGTAATTGCAGTCTTCAAGAAGCGATCCCAAACCTTCGCCGGTATGGCGAATGCATGGCTCTTGTACCAGCCCAACAAAAGATTGAGGAGGTCTTCGTCGTTCTGACAGATTGCGGTGACGACTGCATCTCCTATAAAAGAATGCTTCATGGATAGCTTCGAGGGACCTGGATGCACGAATATGCACATGTCCATTATGATAGCATCCCGTGTGCACCTCGGATCATTCGGATCATTCAGGACTGCTGAAATGTTCTCCAGCATTGCCTTCATGACATCTTTGTGACCAAGCTTCGTTGCAAGCTGCAGGGGTGCACCAAAGATATGGTGGCCCTCAAAGTTTGGTAGTCCCTGCATCAATGCGGGTATACGGGAATGATATCCTAGGCAAATTTCGGCCACCAGCTTATCGAGATATCCGAATGGGGGATGAGGGTATATCCAGCCTAATGGAAGTCCTGGTGTCTCACGTCTGAAAACCCACCGGAATAGGAGATTTTCATGGGAAAGTTGGAGAGAGTCACAGAGACCTTGTCGCAAAGTTTCCTTTTCGTTTCCTGTATCCTTGTTCATTCCTTTGGTCATGTTGTTGGCCATGTCGTTGACCATGTCGTTGACCATATTTGGAAGATCGGGATGTGCATCGAGAAGTACTTTGCTTCGATAGTAGAGGTATCGTCCCGAATTCTCACGGAAGATGCGCTGCGTACGATACCCAAAGAATGCCTTGACGGGCTGCTTTGCAAAGACATTATATGTTATAGTGGCTTTGAAGGTACCTTCAGTTTGTTAGCTCATACCAGAAAATAACACACTACTGCCATTTTACTTACGACAGACTCCACGAAGCTTCCAAGCCCTACTGATACCAGCAAGAGTAACTAGCTCGTGTATGACATTCTCGAATACTTCCAGTGGCATATCGAGGAGCGGCATCTTCGGAGACCGTGCCAATGGTTACTGGTAGCTTCTTATGCGCTGTGAAATGTTAACGTTACCTTCACCAAAATGGTTGATCTGATCGTGTTACGTTGCCAGTTTGTAAAGTAGCTTCCGTGCTCCCGAGTCTGGTGCATGCGTAGTGAGTTTGTCTGGCGAAGATCAAGCTCGGAGGATTGAGAAGAAGAGAAAGTTTCAGGTAGAAGGTAGCTGTTCTAGTACCTTATGTACTCTAGTTGAGTGCTGGCGAGGTGAAGTGGCTCTCGGTGAGTGGTGAGAGAGGTATCCTCAAAGGCGATAAGAGGTCCAGGTAAAGGCAGCAACACTCTCAAATAGAAGACAAGGTTGAATGTGAAATATGAAGGGTTACTCAGGACCAAGCATACCAATATTACTGTATCAACCTCATCGTCTCTGGGCTTGCAACTCGACATGTCCTCACCCGTATCGGTGAAATACATGTCAAATCCACAGCTCACTTCCGTCTTACTCACGCCGAGCCTTCTTTTTTGCTTTGAAAAAGACGGCTCCCAATCCCAGCTTCCAATCCCATCTCATCTGGTCCTGACTCTCCAAATACGTCGGAACGTGATCGCCCGTCTCTCAGCTATCTCCAGGTTGAAATTGCTCTAAGCATGGAGTAATTCTTTTACGCCAAATGGGCTGGTTATTGGATGAACAGAAAGAGGAAACCGCGAAGAACACCACTATTCACATTCGCATTAGTTACCAATCTTGTGAAGGATAGCCTAGGCTGATAGCATAGCAGGTATAGATTTCGTCTCGTGAGTCTCGAGGCAGATCGCGAAAGCCGGCCATACTAATTTCTTGGGGTGTAGCGGGCTGAGACGTAGATCAAGGTGCTCTGATGTAGTTGAGCGAGTGGGTGTGGTGAGTCACTGAAAGAGAGTAGGAGCGATGCCCACATGTCTCGCCAAGTCTGGCCCATGGATGCGCTACGCCTAGTTGGGTCAACATTTGAAGCACTGCTTTCTCCTAGTGGAAGTCTGTTGCGAGGAGCGATTGCACGAAAAGCGGCGACCAGAAGTCTCACTCGAGCAGTTGATTCTGAAGCGCGTCCAAACACGCATCTGTCGTGTAAAGTCTCTAGTGTATCGCAGATGTCCCAAACGCCGTATGCAATGCAGCCTGTATCATGATATAGACCCATGTACACCATATGATACATTTCCGTCATTGTGATCCGCCCATGCTTTCTGTTCATAAGTCCATCACCTGAATTTGGCGGTTCCTGGCACATCCTTGATCTCCTCAAACTTGGTGCCCATCTTGACGACGCTGTATCTGATCAATCTGGGGTCCAGACTCATGGTTCGTCGTAACGCGTGCTGTGCGCGGGCACTCGCATCAAAGCGCATGATGAAGTGGTGGCCGTAGTGGTGTGTGGATTGCAGCTTCTTCGCTGGCTTGGGGAGGAGGAAAGTGCCCCAGTTGGAGACGCCACGGACGACGCCCTGCTGGTCGAGAACAATCTTGCCTGCGGTTTTGGCGATTCTACAGGATATCGTGTCAGTGGTGTGCTGGAGGTGGTGGAATGTGGGAGGGCGAAATTACTCTTTTACTTCAGAGAGGCGGCCAGGCCGTACCTGCGCCAGTCAGTATTCCCTCATGCAGACAATGCGACACGCAGCATACCACTCCTATCATCTCGTACAGCATCTTGCCTCGATTGCGCGGTGTTGTTGCTGACGTCGTGCCTTCCGTCGCGAAAACTGTTCGAAAGCGGCCAACCTTTCCGCAACCGCGGAGGAGCTCCACACCGATGTCCTTGGCGCGTGTTATCACCTCTCCGACTCCCACAAACTTGAAGCTTTCACATTCCCACACACAATCACTGCAAAATGGCTGCCCGGACTTCAATCGCACGCGCTGCGCGCCAATTCACCTCTGCCGCCGCGAGGAGACCATCACCTTTCGTGTGCCAGAGGTGGCAGCAAGCGACCCAGAAGCAACGGCTATTCTCGGTATCTGCCGCTCGTACGCACGCCTGAAGCTTTGGAAAGCAATTGAGTTGCAGGCAGAATCGCTGACTGGGCGCAGTGAAGGAGAAGAAGTACACTGAGGACCATGAGTGGATTGAGATGTCTGCGGACGGCAAGACCTGTACGTTCAGCCTCCCCCACTCCCCCGCATCCCCGGGCGCTCTTGCTATCCAAGCGCACAATGACTGACCTGTCGCGCAGGCACCCTAGGCATCTCAGAATATGCAGCAAAGGCCCTTGGCGACGTAGTCTACATCGAGCTTCCCCAGGTCGAAATGGACGTCAGCGAAGGCGATGCTATTGGCGCTGTCGAGTCAGTCAAGTCTGCTTCAGATATCCTCACACCCATCTCCGGAGTCGTCGCCGAGGTCAACTCGGCGCTAGAGCAGACGCCCGCCAACGTCAACAAGGACCCCGAGGGCGACGCGTGGATCGCAAAGATCACCGTGTCTGGTGAGCCAAGTGGAAAGACCATGACAAAGGAGGAGTACGCTGCTTTTACTGAGGAGTAAATGCTCGAGCAAGAGTTGGGAGGAAGCATCAATGCATGACATGGAGATACCTAGGCGCATACTTCAACACGGAATGCGAAAATAACACAGTCAACAATTCAATTTGCGTATGTCGGCAGGTCATTTGACACGCCTATGAACCGAAAGACCACAAGACGATTGCAAGCAGTACTTAGTGTCGCCTGACATCAGCATGTCGTCGCGTCTCGGCGTGTATCCTGATGTTGAACCACCCCTTCCTTTGGCCCCTCTCACTGATACGTCTCGTATCCTAACCAGTCCACACCTTAGGTCCTGGGCAAGTGTATGTAGTGATAGCACTGCTGTACGTATCAACCGTGATACCCGGGTCACTCTGTGCCGCGTATCCAGGGATGTTTGCCAGATAATCACCACTTGGCGACGCACTGCCGCTACCCGTCACTTCAATCTGCGCGCACTCGGCATAAAACTGAGGCGTATTGGCCTGGTGGAGAGCAAGCAACTCATGACGAACGAGGTAGTTACCAGGCGCAAGCGACTTGGGAACAACGGATTCCCAGTACAGGTTCTTGAGGACCTTGGCCGTGCCCCAGTTACGTCCCGAAAGAGGAGGCGCTGTCATGCCTTCTTGGTCGATCTAGCCGTACCGGTTAACACGAAGGTAAATATGATTGAGATGTTGGGAATGCATACCTTGAACCACTTCTTTCCACTGCCATCGCAGCTCTTGAAGTCACCAGAGCACTTGTACATCCAGACCATGACTGGACCCTGCTCATGCGTCCATTGCTTCCAGTTGGCACGGATCTTTCCGCCCGCAGCTACTTTGGCAGAGAGATCGGCTGATGTACCACCGTTGCACATGACCTTCTTGTCGTTGACGTTCATTGTGGGGTTGTAGTCGGGCCATTGGCGTTGGATTGTCTTGGGCGAGGAGGCGGGTGAGAAACCTTCGTAACTAGATTACAGATTAGCAGTTAGACTCAATAACTTTGCAGACTTTGACAAAGACAGCTTACCCTGGGTACGTAACTCCGTCGATGACATAGCTGGTGACAGCGCCGTGGGCGGCAGCCTGCGCAGCAAGAAGCGCGGTAGGCAGAAAAACGTTTGAGAACAGCATATTGATTTGATCAGATGTTTGCCTTGAAGGTCGATACGAGTTACATCTCTATTCTTCTCTCGTTCTTATATAGTCCCCAAGTGACCGCACTGTCCGACCTCTACGCCCAATACTAGCGTTCAATATCCCTCATGATCACATTACCACTGCCTGCCATTCGTCTCTTTCTGACCAGCCTCGTCACGCCCACTTCACATAGAGGCGATAGTACTACCTCAATATCCATGTAATATACGAAGATGCTGTCGCCGGACCGGTTAAAGACTATTGGCTGCGCAACACTATACATGCTTCGCTAGCGAGCGAGCCTCCATGTCGGCTCTTGGATCCCGATCCATATCGGGACATGATGGGAAGGCGAGCAGTACCCCGGATGTTTAATCTACGTGCCAGGAGTGTGTATACACGGCGTGACAGTGTGAAGTTAGATGGCGCATGCGTTGTCGTGTAAGCAGCGATGTTCTGGAATACAGCGAAGAAAGCCATTTGGAAGACGGAAGAGGCGTCGACAAGGATGAAGATACGTTAATCAGTTGTGCTACCACTTTTGGTACCTGTTCGTCATGGATGGAGCGATCAAAGATCTAGGGATCGGTCATTTTCCCACTGCTGCTTATTCAGGTAACTTTTGGAGAGCCGTAATCCGAGAGACATAGTTGTTGGGGCTGCAATTAACAATCGGAGTCTCGCGTGTACAGAAGCGTGTCTTGTCGTAGCTTGGACCAGCTCCTTCATTTGCACAACAAGAAATAACAACATTTGATGACGTCGATGACGAAGGTAATGAAATTCGCAAGAACGACCTTGGGGAGGTTGGTAAAAGCACCAGACGCTAGTTGACACGCTAACTGAGTCGACCTTGCCGCCCAGCATTCCTGGCACCAACTCAGTTTCATCAACTTATTTTGCAAAACCAAATGCAAACGGTACATGTGAAGTAAAGGTTGCATTGCGAAAATGACTGTGACCCAAGGCGCGGTCTGGTATCTCTCGCCCTTGCTAAATCCATAACAAACCCCCACCTTGCAGATCATAACAATAACATGTCTAAAAGTTCTTTGACGCCTCGATTCCTTTTGCGTCTGCGCCATGCATGACTTCTTCATCGTACCGGTCATCACCATCAGTATAAGCGACACTGATATCCGTAATTTCATCACCGACCTCCAGCCAAGTGTCACTGCACGCTGGAATAGGACTGATTTTGCATAATGCCCAGTACGTGATGCTCGCGACAAGGAAACCAGCGAAGAAGTTAAGGTCATAGATACGCTTCGCACCAACGGGTACGTCACGACCAATGGCACCTGCAAAGCCGACGACGTTGATGAGGATACCGGCGATGTAGGCTGCGTAACCGCGCCAGTGGAATCCAAGGGTGTAGTAGTATGGACCAGTTTTCTTTCCAGAGTAGAGATCCTTGATCTGGAGGTAGCCCTTTCGGACGATGTAGTAGTCGCAGATCATAACACCCGCGATGGAGGAGAGGAAGACTGAGTAGGCAGAGAGGTAGGTCGTGAAGTTGTTGGTATCGGAGAGCAGGTTCCAGGGGCACATCACCAGGCCGACGAGCGCGCAAATGTAACCACCTCGTCTGATGCTGATCCATCGGGGTGCAAGCGCCGTCATGTCAGTTCCCGCACTGATGGAGTTTGCTGCGATGTTTGTGCCGAGTTGAGCGAGGGCAAAGGCTGCGGCAATGCAGAATACACCAAAACGCTGCGCTGATCCACCCTCATTCAGGAACGACTCTAGCAGCTGTAGAGGATCCCAGATAGCCCTGCCAAAGATGACAGTCGATGATGATGACACAATGATTCCGATGAATGAGGTAATTGCAAATCCAATAGGAATCGTTAGCAGTTGCGGGAGGAAGGCGTTCGATGGCTTCTTTGCGAAACGGGCAAAGTCCGGGTCGTTAACAATCAAGGTAGCAAAGTTGGCAATGGCGCTCATGATTCCACGGACCATCAACCAGCCAAGCTCAGATCCCTTAGCCGTGCCTTGCTGATGAACAATCGGGCCCAATCCCTTTGCACGAACGATGGCCCAGATGAAGAAGGCAACTCCAGCGGTAGGAACAACGTAGGCCTTTACCGTGAACAAGTGGCGGATCTTGTGGACTGGTGGGGAGATGAAAGGGAGCGATCCAGCCCAGAACAAGAAGAAAGATACAAAGGCGACCGTGCTGGTGCCAGAGCCGGCAATGCCGTTGGCGATGCCGCCTGTACCAGGGCCTTCGGAGTCTCGCCAGTTGTTCCAGATGGCGCGGATCATTAGGCGTACACAGGTACCGCCAATCCATGCCTGTACGCCGTACCAGATACTAGCCATGGCCGCGCGGTTGAAGACGGGCCATAATGCTCCCCAGATACCAAAGGATGAGCGGTTGACGACAGGAAAAGAGATATGGTAGGTCGCTCCGATACGACCAGTCATGCAGACAAAGCAGGCGGCGATGGAGTAGCCAAGCTGTTGTTGAATCAGCGCATGTCGATATAGTCAGATATCAGATCTCATACCCAAACGCATATCCAGGATTGCCACCACGACAGACCGTCAACGATGTTTGCGGAAGAAATCATCCATGTGTTGATGTTGAAAGAGTCGGCTATACATGATTAGTCCACATTTATGGTCGGGTTCGAGAGTCCTTGACGTACCAACCCAGAAGCCTACGAAATTCCAAGCACCCCATTGTCGACGCTCCGGTTCGACTGGCTTCAAATCGTGGTTGAAGAGCATAAGCTGCGCAGTTGTGAGGTTGGGCTCGCTCTCGACGGCGAGCTTATCCGCCCAGTAAGCGACCTTTGAATTCTTGACTCTCTCCATGATGAGGCTATAGAAGAAAAATCCTTCGTCACTTGAATGATGGACGGTCGAGGTTGCAACAGGCCTTATGAAGCTCTCGCTTCGGCTGCTCGAAGCCGTTGCTTGGTAGGATTGAAGATCCCCGCTCGTATGACGTGGGGGGCTATCAGAAGCGAGTGAAGGTCTCGGTACGCCTAGTCTTGGTGAGGATTGCGGTTGGATGAGTGGTTGGCGTTCAGAATCCACGTTGGGTGGTTTTTGAAGGTAGTCGCAAGGTATATATAAGATATCGAGATGGACGCACTACTGCGTGACGGAGTATTGACGTTCGCCGCTGAAGAGGCTCCCATCTGGGGCATGCTCCATCTTAAATATCAAGAACGACTTCGTGCAGCACAAGATCGACCCTAGATCCACTCCACGCTTAGATACTACCCTGCCTCCGCATCGGAAGTAATTTTGGTTGTGGTTGCTGGCTGGTAGGCCCGTTCCGGTAGTCTTATCTTCAAGTCGCGATAGCCCGCGCGGTATGATCCACCAAGATGTTCGCTACAGTTTTGCCGCTAGAAGTCCCGACGAACAGCTCGTGTGCTAGCCATCAACACCATGCATAGTCTCGAGGATGCAGGCACTGCAGGATTTGCGTTCTGGGCGTGTGAAGGATGGCATGATGAGTGGGTGAATCTCCGCGGATGACGCAGCGCCATGGTAACAACAGTATCGCGTGCCCACCAGGGGTGTGTACTGAAGTCTTGGGGACTATGCACGTCTGCGCAGCTATCTCCGCGATAGGAGCCACAGGAGCAGAGATTTCCCTACTTTTTGACTCGATAGAAACATGTCACCACAGCCCTGGACCCGGAGAAGCTCTCTATCTTGCAGCAGCCGGCGCCATGATGGTTCGAGGTTGCATCTCTCCGTTCGCTTGAGGGTTTCTAGCTGGGGAGATAAAGGCGATGTGGGGTACAACGGGGCGCTCGCCGCAGCCACTCAGCGGCCGCCATATCCAGTTTACTCGATGACATCGAGTAAACCGTCGGCCTACTTATAACATACCTCACCTGGACATTTCCCAGCCTCACGGCTCAGCTGTGAGTCCTGCCCGGTCATGCGCTTGCACATGCCTTTTGCATGCTGAGGGCCATGGCGCAGGCCGACTTCGCCAGCCTCGATTTCTTCCGGGACTTGTATACCGTTTCAAGCTGTTGGACGGCCAGCATAGCACAGGTTTCTTCGGTGACGCCGCGAGTTGGTGGTGAGATACGCGCATACTCGAATCAGCATGCGATCGACAATGCTATCTTCGACACAACCGCGACGCCATTGTACAGACGTCGCGTCCAGTGTTAGCGAATAATCTTTAAGAAATTGATTACGGCTACACAAAGCATGTGCGAAGACTTTTCGCTCCTCCCAGGCATTGCACGATCCGGAGTCGTGCAGCACGGCCATCACGTGGCTTGCAAACACCACAACCTCGACCTCTAGCTCACTCAAACACCATCTAGCATCTTGCGCGGTATATGCCACCTCTCACGCGGTCTTCCGAGGTTCCCAAGCCCGCGGAACGGATCTCAATACTCCCATGCCTTCCGCATCCAAGACGATCGGAAACAATATCGAACAGCGGCTATCTGCAGATAAACAAGCCTCAACATCGGATAACACTCCGACTCCATCAAACAAAATGTGCCGGCTAGGGGCTGCTCGTCTATCGGGCCTTCCAAGGAATGCCCCAAATATCATCAGCCTGGCTCCGTGTGGCTGTTTCGGACGCGACGTGTTTCAACGTCCGCTTGGAGTAATTTCCCGTCTACAGCGACAGGACCACTGAAGATGAAGTTTCTTCAACCGACTGACATTGTTTCGCTTTGATGAGCAGGTGGCGAGATCGTGGCGCGTATCATTAATGACGTTTTAATTCGTGACTATGGTTCATTCTAGACATGCCCAATACCCAATATCCAACGTCGGTAAGCATTAGACGTTATCATGCTCATCCATCCCATCATAGCGAGTTATCCAGAACGCCAGCAGGTAAAATCAAACCAAGCCACCCATTGCTAAATCAGATCATAAGGCATCAACGCGAATTCTCTACCGTCGCCCGGCCATTCTATTACCATCCATTGTTGCTGTGCTTGGGCTTCTTGTGCTTGTCCTCGAGCTTGCTGCCGAGGATCGAGCCTGCTATGGCTCCAATAATGCCGTGGCCGCCCATCTTGTTACCGCCGAAGTAGCCAGCTGCACCGCCACCTAGAGCACCCATAAGGCCTCGGTCGCCTTCAGCTTGCATGTTGGGGTCTGTGGCGCCGTGTTGTCCTTGTTGCGGCTGGCCGTAAGCATTCTGGCCCTGCGGGTATTGGTCTTGAGCGTATGCGCCCTGTTGCGGGAACTGCTGCGCTGGGGCCTGGCCAGGGTATTGGCCTTGTGGAGGGTACTGCTGTTGCTGGCCGTATCTGTTGCCATTAGTACATGAAGTAATATATTTGAAAGGTTGCATCTTACCCCTGCTGTTGCTGGTCATATGGCGCTACTTGTTGTCCATGCTGGAATCCACCGTGAGCCGGGGCACCGTACTGTTGGTTATAGCCTTGCTGTTGGTAGCCCTGCTGCTGCTGGTCGTAGTAGCCCTGGCCTTGTTGCTGAGGTGGGTAGCCCTGCTGCTGGTAGCCGCCCTGCTCCCATCCTTGTTGTTGGGGAGGGTATTGGCCTTGAGGCGGATATTGCTGGTAACCTTGGTTGTACTGGTCGTAAGGGCCGGACATGATGAATGTGTGAGGTTTGTAGGTTGCAAGAGTAGTTGGTGTTATTGAGCTGAGGAGGGGTCGGGTAATGAGGGGTGGTTGACGTAAGGTTGGGGGCGAATACGGGAATACGAGAGTAATAATGTCGTGAATGAAAGCAAGAGCGTCACGACAGGAACATCACAATCTTATACTACTGACTTACTTGCCGCAGCGCACAACACCATCTGCTGACTACAAGACCTGATGACTGAACGAATCCACCGAATCTTTGGGGCGGAGCACATCCAGCGATATCCGGCTACACTCACTCAGCCTCAGCCACCCAGAGGCCAAGTTCGTCCGGCAGCCACGGCCAGTTCGGCGGGAGCGAACCGTCCACGCCTCAACGCCGCATCATCCGTGGGCTCCTCCGCGCAATGTCATTTTTTCCTAGTACTCAGCAGCACTACATCTCACGTGTCGCGCATCTCGATGTAGTGTCAGTCGTCTTTCATTTGTTTTGTAACATCCTAGAGAGCGATCACCGCGAAGGCTTGCCTAGCCTCAGGAAACACTCTCTTCCGCCCCCCAGCAAACCTTTGTGCGAAACATTGTGTGCCTCTGTTCTTCCAAGAAATTGGCCTCGGCCGGATATCTGGGATAGCCTGGGCCAGAAGCACCGCCGCATCACGTCGCGCTACTGAAAAAAGGTACTCAGTGGAGCCCAAAAGTCGACCACGCCATCCGAGGCGCAGCAGTCTCTGCGTTCCTCGGAGAGCGTGTGGCTTGTCGTCATCTGCCGGCTGTACGACCGCAAGGCTGTCCTGCGCATTTTCGCCGAATCCCAGTCGGGCTGCCGGTCATATGCGGGGAATTATTGAAGGAATTAATATCTGCTAACCATTACAATTGCGCTCTAGATATCCAATAACTGTAGTCTCTCGATAGTCTCACGACAAACCCCTGTGGCGTGTGATCGTCCTCGGAAACGGGAGCTGAAACGTGACCATGGCGCTCTGAGACAACTTTAAGACAACCCCCCAAACCTTGCACGACCATTTTCTTCTCAATCAAGGCACATCTTGCCCTATTGGGGGCAATTAAGCGCGCCCAGGATTGTGAAATCTCGCCATTTGGAGCGTCCTCGGCATCGCAATTGCTGCTAAACGCTCTGTTATGATCATAGCGTAGTACCCGTACCTTCGCGTCTCCCCAAACTGACATGGTACCAGCAGCGACTCACCACTAGTGTAATTCATGCACTTCTCAAAGGCCACCCCTCCCGCTATTCGCATGAACGTGTCTCGTCTTGAGCGTTCGCCCAGCCTTTCGTTGCACCTTTGCTGACTTTGCTTTCTATTCTGTCCTTCGTTCCGCAGGCGGGCTTGTCGTTGCTAATCACTTACATACATTCGCTACTCCACCCTTTCTTATCGACTTCGCTGGTCGCGGTCTAACACACTTCCGATCACAACATCGCCTTCGGTCACGACAACCTTACATCGCTGGACGAGTGTGTGGATTATGTCTGGTGGAGAAATTGAACGGCTGGAAGACTGAGAGGGGCTTTCCCCATTTGACGCCGTCGCATACCGGAAGCAATGCCCGCCCCATGGCGCCGCGGGGTGTACGAAAAGGTGGAATATGTTGTAGTGGAAAGGGACGGTGTCCAGTATGAGAGGGAATTGGCGGGAGAAGAGCCTACGGCCACTGTGAACGCAAAACGCGACGAACCAAGTCCTACAGACGCAGACTACGACAGCGATTCTGATGAAGACGACTACCCTGAGAAGCCAAACATGACAGCTATGACAACAGCATCTCTTACGATACCGACAGGAACTCCAGCTGTAAGGAAGGCGTGCCGATTCAGGGGATTTGACTAATGCAAACAGCTTCTGATTACCATGACTCTCGGTGACGAGCCACAAGCCACACCTGCCCTCGCCGACAATGACCCTACCGAGACAATCGTGATCGCTATGCCACCCCCACCGCCTAGACCTCATCATGATCGCCCTATTTCCCAGACGACTGAGCACTTGCTCATTGCTGCCGGCTCCATTGGTAGGATGAACCGATTGCCTGTGTTGGAATGTATGCTGACATGCTTTAGGTGCGACTATCATCATCGTCATGGTAGTTCTTGCCATGTACACCATGCGCAAGCGGGGGCTTACTTTCAAGGACGTACTTCAACAGGGCAAGCAGCAACTTCGCCGCGGATCCCCACCACCACCGCAATCGAGATACGGCCTGGACAAGAAGAACTTTGACGATGAATACACATAT